ACAACTTTATTCTCGTAATTTTACAACTTTATTCTCGTAATTTTACGACTTTAGTCTCATAATTTAACGACTTGTTGCGACTTTATTCTCGAAATACAAAAAAAACCCTCTAGCCTGACCCTAACACTCCGTCGTAGTTTATAGAGATAATAACATTATTTAGTATAAAATTAACTCTCAGCAGATCTAACTTCTTGCAAGATTGAGGAAACTTATTTATTTAGCAGGTTTTTGGGAATTGACCTTTTAGATATTCAGGAAGCGTCCTGTAAGTCCTTGGAAAGTAACCAGCTAACTAGTACCTGAAAGTAGCAGGTTACTCATGCAACCAGTTGCTCCTCAAAAGCTACAGGAAACAGAATAAATCTGAATGTTTGGGGAAGTAACCTGTTTGTTCCAGGAAAGTATTTGCGTTGCACTACAGACGGATCATTCTGCCATTTTCTGTTAGATTTCCCTAAAAAGCTCAATTGTTTTTTAGATTTTAATTCAGACCTTTTTATATCTGACGTGTTTTCTATTAAAAGCTAACTGAACTAGTTATCTGCATGTAAAGGCTGTTTATAAAGGGTTTGGGGTGCATGTCTCCTTCTCTCCTGCTGATCTGATGCCTGACCTTTCATTTTGACGCCGTTCTCCTGGTGATGTTGATCATTGATGGTCATGTTGGCTAAGGAGGCGCTAACGGTGTCTCCAGAACCGTAGCTGTTCGAGGCGTTGTTCATGTACTCCATTGGCGGTCACGGGTCAGGCTGAAAAAGAGCAGATAAACCAAGGTCAGCAGAGCGGTCAAGAATGAAGCAGACGTCAAAGGAGACATAAACTTTACGCGCATAGAGGCCGAGGTGAAGGAAGGATTTAAGGTAAACATGACGCACTTGTTGGTCTCCTTGTCTTCCGGCATGCAGGACCCGATCCATCACCTCAGAATATAAACAGACACTGGGCCTGTTATTTATACACCCTGACGTGGGGGTCAGTGCTTCATGTTTCAGCCCTACAGACAGAAATAGCCCCCCCAGCTCATGTGAACGCTGTCCTCACTGTGAAGAGCCACACTTCCTGCGCCAAGCTCCCAGCGACTCATCGCAGTCCGAACACTTCCTCCTGCAGCGCAGCAACCCCAAACCTGCGGCGCCGGACTCTCTCCTTCATCACCTTAGAGCTCGTTAAAAAAGAGGATTGCATCTCAGATTAAAGCCAAGCTGCTGCTTAGATCAGCTCAAATCATATTTTTAATGCCCTCTCGCAGACAAACTCCCAGACTCTGGCAGGGGGGAGAGCTTACACCATAATCATCCTCTCCATCCAAACCTCTGAGCTTTACCGTCTCCATGACGACCATGTTGGCAAATCAACACTGAGGTTTAATCTCTCAAAAGTCCATTAGCCACTAAAACCGTCAGCTACCAGGCTGCGTCATGCTGTGGGGGGGGATTAGAGCATGCTCTGTAATGGCCTAGTCAAAGTCCTGCTCTAAAGAAAATTCAAACTCTCCCTCCAATCCGAGGCAGCCTGGGTTCCTTCATAAAGATGGTTTAGAGAAACCTTTTATCTATAGAGGAATGAAGCTTGGATAGAACTTTACCCAAAAAATAAAAGTCTAACTGCAGAAAATAGACCTTTTTACAAACAAACAATTGAACACTTTTACATTTTGTTGCATAAATTTCTGAAAACCAAATGTTTTATAACTTATAAATTGATGCTGGAAAAGGCAAATAAAATGCAGCAAACTTTGATAGCAATGTGACCGAATGTGGAACGTTCCTTTTAAATTGCTTTAAGGAAATCATAAGTTAAAGAAAATATTTGTACATCTTTTCCTTCCAAAGAAGTGAAAAACAAATCAATCCTCTGGACTTTGTTTCCAAGTTTGAAGACGTTTCTCTTCCATCTAGGAAGATTTTTTCAGATCAAAATATCAGAAATAGCGTTTAGTTCCAAGTTTTATCCAGCAGCCCAACAAAGCCTGGTTTTAGTTTAGATTTTCTTTTAGAAATTCAAATGACGATGGAATCTGATTAAATCAGACAGGTTGTTTATATCTCTACTGTTTGCAGAGGTGTCAAGTGACGAAGTACAAATACCTCGTTACTCTACCTAAGTACACTTTCTAGGTATCTATACTTTACTCCATTACTTATTTTTCTTCCTACTTATGACTTTTAATCATCAAATTTTCCCACCAGTATTTGTACTTTCTATTCCTTACATTTTTAAAACAAACGTTACTCGTTACTCTTGGCTTCGGTTTAATGTTTCTAAATCTTTATTTCCCGTCATGTGCTCCATCCAATGCAGATCATTGGCTCCACCCACATCTAGTGAAAACTAGTGTGATTGGATGAGTCATTGAACGCAAACACTCATTGGTTAGCTAAAGGAAATCATCAGAAGCAAGCAGGTGTTCTTCAAACTGCTAACGAAAGGGGGTTTATCAGGCTGTCACTAACTAAGCTACTTCCTAGTGAGTGAAGACAGAAAAGCAGGACTTCTTCTGTTTAGGCAAATGTTATTGTTTAAGAATGGTCTGGCTGTTAACCCGTTCAAGGTTGTGAAACGGAGGGCAACAAAATGAGACCTAATTAGAAATCTGAATTCCCAGTGAAAACTACACATTTTTTCCTTTACTTTCTATTTATTTCCAGCATATCTAGCTTTGAGCCAACAGTGTGGGAGGAAACATAAATTCATACGTAAAGCAAATCCAAGCTTAGATCACCATGAAGAAAAGAAAAGAAAAGGATATTTTTCTCTTAGAGAAACAGCATTTTAATAACCTCTACTGTGCAGGTGAGATTTTTTTTTTCTGGATTGTTTGATTTTGTAAAACTCTAAATATTCAAACATCTTGTTACTTTATTCCACCTATTATCATCACACAGCTTTGGCGGGTTTGGTAATCAGGGAAGCAGATGAGAGTAAAACATCTGTAATAAGAAGACTGGTAAACAGGATGCAATGGGGGAGAAAATTAAGATTCAAAAGTTTAAAAATGAGCGTTAGGAGTTTATGGTGGAAAATAGTTAAGCATGATTTTTGGTTTGGAATATTTTATCACC